CAAAGTCTAATAGACGTGATGTCACCCAATGATATAAAAGGGTATGTAACATGCTTTTATGATAATAAATGGTGGGTGGCCTATATTCTAGCGATTATTAGTGTTGATGAGGTAAGTGTAAAATTTTTATACACCGTAATGAACCTTCTATTTCCTTTTATTATCCTTCAATACCTGATATTCTTATTCTTACAAAAAATGATATTCTAACTAGGGATGTACCGATATTTTTTTATCGGATCGGGTCGATATTTCACCCATTTTAAAATAGCGGTTATCGGCCAATATTATAAAATTTTTTGATCCGATACGATAAAAAATGGCGTTTTTAACAAAAATAGAATGTTATAAAATTTGTAAAAAAAGTTATATCTGAAATCATTTATTTTTATAAATAAAATCGAAATTCATTTTTATGTTTATTTTTTTAATAATAATAATTAATTAATAGACATTCTGCCAAATTGTTATTTTTTTTGCATTCTGTTTATAAAAGTGTGCGATAATCTCTTCAAAATCTGTTTTTAAAGCTGGCGATATTTACAGTCACCATCGCCACAGGCTGACCTCTGATATTCGATATATTAATGTTAAATATTATATTTATTTCAAATTTCATAATATATTTGTTTATTACTTATTATGTATATAGATTAATGTTATTACTTATTATATAAAAGTAATTTAACAATAAAAATATTTTATAAACTTTTAGAATTGCAATTGAATTGAATATAAACTATAACTGAGTATTATAATATATTTAATGATATAAGTTATGGTTAGTATTGTTAAACGGCTCATTTTGAGCCGATTTTTTAAAACGGCTAACTCAATATTTTAGCCAGAAAAATATTGCCTAAGTCTCGAGATTTCGATAATATATGCCTAAACCTTTGTTCCTTCTATGAGCAAAATCTTGAGGCCTGCGTAATATTTTTCTGGACGAAATATTGAGTTAGCCGTTTTTAAAAATCGGCTCAAAACGAGCCATTTAACAACACTAGTTATGGTATAGTTAGATTATAGATGTTATACTAATAAAAAGTATATTAATAATTAAAACCATTGGTATCTTTGTAGAATACAAAATTAGATATGATATCGGATCTGTAATCGGCCGTTATCAATTTAATATCGGATCGGCCTCCAAAAAGTGGTATTGATACACCCCTAATTCTAACTGTCGTCAACCATTTGACCACTACAGAAAGAACTTATTATTTAACTCATGAAAAATCCGAAATGGCCATAAACAAATTAAGGAAATCAATATAATTAAGCTCTATACTATAAGTAATTTTACAATGAATTAATTCGGTATTATCTAATAAATAAAAACAGCTACTGACATATTTTAGCAAAATAAAAAAATCCATTAAGTGTATATAATGTCTAAATAGTGAGCCCGATTTGGGTTAATTTTTTAAACTACCTGATTAAGATTTAACGAAAATAATATTAATGTAAGCATCGAGATAAGGCAAATGGATGTCCAAGCATTTCTGCTACTTATGAGCAAAATTTTTTTACATAATGTTATTTTGGAAATAATTAAAATGGACCTGAATCTGACCTTAACGGCAGATATGATTATTATAGGACGCTATAATGGAAAATAAACATATTTTAAAATTTTATATACAAATTATTATAAAAGAATATCTTTATCGTATTCCATTTTGCACTTATTACTAGAATTTCCCGAGGCCATAATTTGTAGGTATATCTTGTCGCCGGATTGTGGGGTAAAATAAAAATGTGATGGTCCATGGGGATGCAAAAAAGAAATATATATCCTCAGTAATTTCATTTTTTAGTACTGGCTAACCACCAAAGATCGTCATAAATACATGTGATCAGTCTTTTATTTAGGACCACATTCTGGACCAACAATTTTTCTAAACATCTGATAATGACGATTTTATTGGTTACCCACAGTAAAAAGAGTGAAATTTAGAGATAAATATTTCTTTTTTACATCTATCCCGGTGACCATCACATCCTTCTTTTACCCCACATGTGACATTATAGGGTAACGATAATAGATCCACAACAGCCACAAGATATACCTACAAATTATGACCTCAGGAAACTTATTAATAATCGCAAAGTGGAATGCTATAAAGATAAGAGATTTTTTTATAATAGTTTGTATATATAAAATATTAAAATATGTTTATTTTTCAATATAACATTATAATAATCATATATGGGCTACCTGCTTACATATCGCCCCAGAACATTATATTGATTATACTCAATGAATTTTTTATTAGTGATTTTTAAATAACCCCATCTATATAACATTGTTATTTATAATGATAGAAATATAAATAAAATTAAAAACACAAAATAAACATTCCTAGCGAATATCAGCACCCAAAATAATCCCTCTTAACTAAATATTTTATCTTTACCGGAAATAAGATAACAGTTGGAAAATTTTAAGGGTTATGAAATGATATAATTTGTAACTATCATAATAATTTTTTTAAAAAACAACATTTAATGAAATCACTCTCCCATTTCGAAGACGTATATCTTTTGAAGTTGAGCTAGGGCTATAAAATTTTGATTTTATTAAAATTTACAACTAAATAACAAATATAACAAGTTTCATTCGTTTTTGTGATGGTCGTACGAGACACTGGTTAATTTATAATGGAATGACCTTTTACAAAATTATTTATATAAACTATAACATTGAACTGACCAAATTAAATATTTCACATGGGCCTAATTCAGTCAGTTTTTTAACTTACAAAAAATATTATATAATTGTGCCCCTGTATTGCAAAGCTCGGCCTGAGTTAAATTGTTAATATTTTTTGCATAAGTTGCCCACTCGTTATTGAAATGTTTGTCCGACTTATCCAGGCCCGATAAATTTTTTATTAATTTCCTGGCATAGTCAGTTAAAATTTTAAGAAAAATTATGCCCGGATTGGTATAATATCTTTAGATGTCAATATTGTATCATATCATAATTAACTTATTTCTTGTGAATTTTAAGGATGTACCGATATGGCTATCGGATCGGGCCGATATTTAACCCTTTTAAAATATCGGTTATCGGCCGATATTATAAAAATTTTCTTATCCGATCCGATAAAATGGTGTCTTAATTTTTAAGAAATGGTATATTATAAAATTGAGATGTTATAAAAATTTTTTTAAAAGTTACATCAAAAAAACTATTTATTTTTATAAATAAGATCCATTTGAAATATTAATTTAAATAATATATTTGTTACTTATTTTGTAAATAGATAAATTTTATTAGAAATAAGTGATTTATCAATAAATTACAATATATATTAATTCACGAATATAAACAAACTGTTCATTCAAATATAAATAAATGATTTATGTTGTTAAATTATAGATGTAATACTGTTAAAAAGTATATGAGATGAGTATATGAATTAAAAATTAAAACGATTAGTATGTTTACTGTATACAAACTCAGATCCGTAATCGGCCAATAGCAATTATCGGATCGGGCTCCAAAAAGTGGTATCGTATGAGTGAATTTACTATTATTTATTTTTAAATATTATGAACAAAAATTCAAAAAAAATAAATCAAATGCCCGAGTTGGCTCATTAAAATTTTACAAAAAATAAAAGATTTGCGAGACCTGACTCGATTTTTTTTATGTATAAATTATCCGGCCTTTTATTTTTTCTATAAAATTTTACTATCCGGCCCGATAGACTTTTACCCAGTAAGGTTCCAATTTTAAATTCAATTGATTACTATTGATCGGGAAACTGCTAAAATTAATATTTAATTAAATTTAAAATATAAAATCAACTTTAATTTTATTGTGGATAAATAGTTCAGTTTAAAGTTTATAATAAAACGTATTTTTTTACAATTATAAGAGATTAATATATTAACGAATAGTATTTTTTCCTCAACAAACGCCATTAATAACGGCGATATTTTTCAGCATTACTAATTATCATTATCCATACATTTTTGTAGGGCTGTGCCGGTCTATATATTTTTTCACCGATCCGATCCGTATTGTTTCAAAACCGATCGGATACCTATACAATATTTTTATTGATTTTTCACAACCCCCCCCTATGAACCAAAGTAATTAAGAAATCAATATTTTATATGCAAAAAATCGAATTATGCATTTAATTATTTTTTTTTCATTTCTACAATAATTAAAAAAAGTTTACGGATTTGGTAGTATTAAATGAATTTTTTTATTGTTCCTCCCTGTGAAATTAGAATTCCGCAGAAAACGTATTTTTCAAAATTATCTTTGTCTTTCATAATATATTTCCATAATTCAGATACCATATTTAAAAAAGTTCTTTTATTTAAAGTATAAATTCTTTATTTGAACGTGGGTTATAGACCTGCCCAAAGGTGAGCTTACGTGAATTAAGACCCATCCTTCATATAATTATGCCGATTTTTTTATCAAGGATACCAACAAACCTTGTAACCCAGATATGAGGTTATATAAAGGTGGAACTATATCCTAGCCATATATTTGTTTAGTAATGAGTATAGCAAAGAAAGAAGTACAATATATGAATAAAAAAGAAAGGCCCTTCTTCCAAAAAACTTATAATTTTGATAATTATTTTAATTTAATAAATTTAGTTAGAAATTTGTAATTATTAAATTATAAATAATAAAATTGGCGTTATTATTTAAAAAGATTTAAAATAAATAAAACTTTGGGTGTTTCTATTTTTATAAAAAAATAAATAAAATTTAAGGGGTGTTGTGCATTTGCATTGTTTAAAAAATTATTTAGAAAATATTAATATATATAAAATAACAAAAAAAGAAAAGTAAAAGGATCGGATCGGTTTTTTACAGGTATCGGCCCGTTCCGATATTATTGGGAAACGTTAATTATCGGTGCCGATCCGATATTTAATATCGGCACAGCTCTATTTTTTTGAAACCACACAATAGTCCTTTCACGACATACATTTTTATCGGAATTTTTATATTTGATACAGGTTGGCAAATGACGCCAAAGTTGCCGGCAAAGGTGGTGGTGACCGTCAATTCAACGGGATAATAGACGTGTACCGCAAAACAATAATGACAGATGGGGTGGCTGGTTTATACCGCGGTTTCGTGATATCTTGTGCAGGTATTGATCTTTTATATGTTATTTCTCCTTTTGTATTTCTCTATTGGTTTGGTTAACGCTATGAACTCAAGTTGGAGTTAGTGACCATTCAGATATGTACGGACTGGACAGCCACCCTTTAATAAAAAACCAATCCAACCAACTATTTTGTTATTTTAAATATAATTTCGTTTTTCCTTAATTTAATTTTTGTTTTGTGATTTTATTAAATAAATTAGTATGTTAAATATTAAATCAAATATGAATAATAGGGGTAATACCATGACAAATATAGGCCAGTGATTCGGATGACCATCTCAAAAATGAATAAAATGGCTTGTTAGTTATTTATGTTGTAATTGTTGATAAAAAATTTAAAGCGCTAGCTCAACAGATCCAAAGATATACGCCTTAAAATCGAAAATCAGGCATGCGTGATTTCATTATATCTTGTTTTTTTTAAATTATATATCATATTATAGCCCTTTAGATTTTACATTGGAAAATATTAAAAAAATTAAAAAATTTCATGTGTTTCTTTATTTCCGGAAAAATAAAATATTAGCATTTTTGAGAAGGGTTTTTGGGGTGCTAATATTAATGCTTATAACTTAATCAAAAAAATTCATAGCTAATTTTGATTTTTTTAAATCTAATTTTAATAAAATGTATTATAGATGTCATTATATTTAAAAATCATTATAATAAAGTATGTTTTATAAAAATATGTATTGTATTGGTATTAAAATAAAAAATCCATTGAGTATAAGGGTCATTCCAGATTTTGTTAAAATTTGGTATTTAAGTTAGTAAAGTATTGTTAGTGACGAATCCAAAATATTAGACTCTTAACTCTATTAGAACCTGAGATATAGGGCTTCAAAGTGGCTCAGCTTGGTCATTTTTTGAAAAAAATGAATTTTTAAAATTGGGATAACTTTTATACTAGATGCACTATGTATATCTATTATGGCTCATTTTATAGCCCTAAGTAAACTCTTGAACGTATGTTAAATAAAATTAATTTTTAGTTTATATATTTTTCTTAAATTGCGGTTAAAAATTTGTGATTAATTTTTTAAAATGTTAGACTAAAAATTTTTTTCCAAATTTCAGATATTTTGTAAAGATTACCAAGAACTGTTCATATAAAAAATTTCAGAGTGGGCCCAAAAATATTAATTAGAAAAAATCTCAGTTTTGAAAAATCCGCTAGATGGAGTCGGTAATTTAAAATATCAATTTTAACAATATAAGTCAAATTTTTTTTATTCCATAATAAAATATATATCGAATAATTAATAATAGTAAGCTTAAAATAATTTTAATTAAATTATCGATTTTTCGAAAAAATTTTTCCAATAATTTATCGTCTGTTATTTTTCCTAAAATTTATAATTTTTAAAATTAATTAATTTATTAATATTTTATTAAAATGTTTTGTACAAATCCATTAAATCTGCCAAATCATTATTCCAAAAAAGGACTTCGTAAAGTCAGTATTTGGATGACAATGTATTATAAAATTAACAAGGAGATTATATTTGTCCTAAATGTCGCAAATCTTTATATAAAAAGAAGAAAGATGTTTCAATTTTAGAGGATAGTAACATAGCTACAACCTCAAATAATTTCCTAAACTCCATCCATATAGAAAATAATTATCCAAATAATAACGATAATGCGCAAATCCCTACAATTTTTTTAGAATCTTTAAATTCTACTTTAGATCAAATGGGGCATTCACCAATAAAAAAAAGAGACTAAGAGAGAAAGGATATCCCAAGAATAAACTTGGCAGAATTTCAACCGCGATTGCCAAAATTCTTCAACCCAAAACGAATACAAATGGTAGCGAAGATTTAATAACTCATATGAAAAATAATTATCCATTATTGTCGAAAACACAAAAATATCTTTTATTAACGACATTACCCTAAAATTGGAGCATTCAAAAAATTAAAAAACAATTTAACGCTTCGTTTTATATGATCCGTAATTCAAAATTTATTCTTGGTCAAAAGGGGATTCTTTCAACTCCCAATCCGAGAGCAGGTAAAACCATAAATCAGGGCGCAGTTGACACTGTAAAAAGTTTCTATTTAAATGACGAATATAGTAGATTATTACCCGGAAAAAAAGATTGCGTTTCTATAATTGAAAATGATGAAAGGATTAACGTTCAAAAAAGGTTAATTCTTAATAATTTAAAAGAAATCTATATAAATTTCAAAACTATCTACCCTTCTCTTAAAATCGGATTTTCAAAATTCGCCTCATTGGGCCCTAAAAATTGCATAATGCCAGGTTCAAGTGTCACTCACTCGGTTTGTGTCTGCCTAATCCATCAGAATGTTAAGTTGCTAATAATAGGTAGCAATTTAGCAACTTTAAAAAAAATAGGGATTTTGAGATAAAGACTTACAAAGACATAATTCCAAAAATGATTTGTAATCCTCCCCTACCAGCCTGTTATTTTGGCGAATGTCATGAATGTCCGGGGTACCAAGAATTAAGGGCTAAATTAGAAAATTTATTAATTGCACATGATATATACAGGATAACGTTCAAGCAATGGATATCTGTAGATAGAACCAGCCGAGAAACCCTAACGCAAACAGCTGACGAATTTCTTAATTACTTATTTGGAAAAATATTTATTTTGATTCGCCATGCTTTTATTACTGAACAACAAAACAGATTCCATCAGAATCTTAAAAATAATTTAGAGCATAATCATTATTTGATTATCTGTGATTTTTCTGAAAATTACTCATTTATACTTCAAGATGAAGTCCAAAGTTATCACTGGGCCACTTCCCAGGTTACTCTACATCCATTTGGTATATATTATAAAGTAAATAATGTATTAAATCATATAAGTTATGTGGCCATATCTGAATCGCTGGAACATAACACTTGTTTATTTTATTTATTCCAAAAAAAATTGATAAATTTACTAAAAAATTACTTTTTATCCGATCCAAAATACATTTTTTATTATTCCGATGGGTCCGCGGCTCAATATAAAAATAGGAAAAATTTTATAAATTTGTGTTATCATCAAGTAGACTTCGCCATCCCAGCAGAATGGCATTTTTTTTCTACTGCCCATGGGAAAAATGTTTGCGATGGAATAGGGGGAACCGTTAAACGCTTGGCTGCGCGGGCCAGTTTACAACGTCCTTATGATAATCAAATAAAATCTCCCTATGAATTCTTTAAATTTGCTGAGGAAAATATAAAAAATATTTATTTTTCCTATACAACCCATAAAGAATACCAAGATGAGCAAGAATTTTTAGCGGAACGATTTGCAAGAGCTCTTTCAATTCCTGGTACTCAAAAAATTCATGCAGTCTATCCTGTTAATTTATCACAAATAAATACAAAAAAATATTCCAGTGCTATTGAAGCCAAATTAGAAAAAATACAAAATATAATAAGCGAAATATCAACTAAAGATATTAAAGGGTATGTTACATGTTTATATGATAATGAATGGTGGGTAGCAATTCAAGATATTATTAGCGATGCTGAAATAAAGGTAATTTTTTTACATCCAAAAGGACCTTCTCAATCCTTTTATTATCCATCAATACCAGATATTCTAATTATTCCGATATATGATATTCTCACAATTGTCAACCCCTTGACAGCCACCGGAAGAACATACACTTTAACTAATGATGAATCTAACTTGGCAATATATAAATTAAATTTAAAGAAATTTAATTAAATTATTTTAAGCTTACTATTATTAATTATTCGATATATATTTTATTAAGGAATAAAAAAATTTTGACTTATATTGTTAAAATTCATATTTTAAATTACCGACGCCATCTAGCGGATTTTTCAAAAATGTGATTTTCTCTAATTAATATTTTTGGGCCCACTCTGAAATTTTTTATATGAACAGTTCTTGGTAATCTTTACAAAATATCTGAAATTTGGAAAAAAAATTTTAGTCTAACATTTTAAAAAATTAATCACAAATTTTTAACCGCAATTTAAAAAAAATATATAAACTAAAAATTAATTTTATTTAACATACGTTCAAGAGTTTACTTAGGGCTATAAAATGAGCCATAATAGATATACATAGTGCATCTAGTATAAAAGTTATCCCAATTTTAAAAATTCATTTTTTTCAAAAAATGACTAAGCTGAGCCACTTTGAAGCCTTATATCTCCGGTTCTAATAGAGTTAAGAGTCTAATATTTTGGATTCGTCACTTACAATACTTTACTAACTTAAATACCAAATTTTAACAAAATCTGAGATGGTCGGGTTGTAAAGTGATTGATTTGACATGGAATGACCCATAACCAATATAATATCCTGGGGCACGGATATGATTTTAATAAGACGCTATATTATAAAAACAAACTTATAAATAACATAACTTTTGTTTTAATCTTATTCTATTTGCGTTTAATAGGATTTGAGGCAATAATTTGTAGGTGTGCTCTGTCACTGTTATGGGATATACTATTTTTATTATTGATGGGAAGCATATCTTTTCCTCGATTGTGGGGTAAAAGATGGATGACGATGGTCCATGGGGATGTAAAAAAGAAATATATATCCTCAATAATTTCATTCCTTTTTAGTACTGTGACTAACCATCAAAAATCGTCATAAACACATGTTACGAATCCTTCAATATCGACAATACGCAAATTATATACATTTGAGATAATATTAATTTTAAAGTCTTCTGAATATGAATATATATTTGATTTAAGTTTGCTTAAACTAAAAGGAAATACAGCGTGTATTTCCTGAGTTCCTGGAATAGGGGGCGAGCTAAATTAAATCTTTTTCAAGAACTTTAATCTCTTCTAAATTGCAGAGTTGTTAAAAGATACTTTTTAAATGGATCTAGATACAGATGCATCGTCAAAAAATTTATCTAGATACAGATACAGCTTATAAAAGGTTATCTTGATATAGATACAATTTAAAATGTATCTAGGTGATACATTTTTTATTATAGGGTCATTAAATGACAAAT